CCGTGCGCGCCGGGAAGCGCGCCGGAAGCACTGCCGCGCCGCCATCTTGGGCAGGGCGTGCGGCGGAAACGCCCGCGCCGCCATCTTGGGGAGGGCGTGAGGCGGAACCACCCTCGCCGCCATCTTGGGGAGGGCGTGAGGCGGAACCACCCGCGCCGCCATCTTGGGGAGGTCAACGCATACTGGGAAACAGCGGAGTCCTACTGAAGCCATACTGGAGCCACTGGGGCCATACTGGGGACCACTGCCACCCCCGGGGATGACACCAGCCCGGCTGCTCCCGGGGTACGAGCCCCTGCGCAGGGACAGCTCAAAGGAGAGGTGGGGGCCACCATCTGCCCCTTGCGCCCCAGAAGACGAGAGAAGCCGCCTCAGCTACCCCAAAATCTATCGGTTTATTGTATAAAATCATACATACAGCCCGCAACGGCGCACGGCGATTCCTCCTTGCAGCTTCGCATTTGATTACGTAGCCTGAACGAGGAGAACAACCCATTTTGGACGCTGAGAAAACCTGGATTTGTTCATTTTTATCACCTTCCAAGCGGATCCGGTGACTGAAAACCGGTGCCCGAATCGCCAAAAACCCAAGTCGGGGAATACCAGGTTTTCCCTTTCCCTTATGCCAGGACGGGTGGAAACGCCGTAATCCTCCCCGACCCGTTGCAGCGCGGCTGCTGGCAGTAGCGAGGCACCTGAAACAGCTCGTGCACCACCCGGCGCCGCGGGACAGAAGAGTTTCGCTAAAAACGTTAAAATCCCGACGTGCGAAGCGCTCGTAAGCGCCGCAAAAAGCAAAAAGCACCAGGAGGGGCCCAAAAACCTGACGGCGGAGGCGCCGCGAGGTTTCCGAGGAGCTCCCCGGCGTGCGAGGTCGGGCGCAGGGATAAACGGCCGCCGCACGCGACGGAAGGCGCGGAAGCGCGGGTGCGGAGACGTCGGACCCCGCGCTGCTCCTAGAGCAAGCGATTACATCCACACACAGGGTCCAGATATTGCCGGCCTGTAAAAAAAAAGAAACATAAACTCCACACCATTTACAATCACGTTTATAAACGCATTAAACATTAATACTGTCGTGTAAAGAGGCTGCATATAAAAAATATATAAAAAAACCAAAACAGGCTTGTTAGGATGAGAATACAAAAGTAGAATACCTACAGATAATACAATTTTTTTTAATCTCCATCTCAAAACAAAGACTATTGCTCGAACACCCGCCCGCCTCCGCGGTCAAACAAACCGCGGAGGGAAAGGAGCGGGCGGCCGCGGAAAGAGCCGAGTCCCGAAGGCTTTGGTACCTCTACCAGGGGAAAGGAAGCGGAGAGAGGCGAAAGCGGCGTTGAGGAAAGAGGCGCCGGAGTCTGTCCGCAGTCTATATTCCCGCTGAGACGCTCCGCCGGGCACGTGTCGAAAAGGCAGGAAGGGATACGGGAATGACCGTGAACAAGTGGCTACGCTCTTGACTGAACTCGAGCTGCAGGAACACTTCAAAGTCAGAAAGAGCATTTTTTTTAAACTCTACACATTATATAGATTTCGTACGGATACAAAGAATAGGGAATTATTAATTTAAAAAAATAGTGCATCTAGAGATTCTTGGTTTGTTCCGTCGCCACTGTTACACGGAGGGAGCGAGCTCCGACGCGGCGCTCCCAGCTCCAGGAGCGGCCCAGCTCTGGCCGTCGCCCCCTCGCCTCGTTCGAGGCCGCGCCGCACCGACACCCCAGGCCGGGGGAGCCAAAATCCCAGGATTTGTCCCCAGTAAGCGCTTCCCGGGGCGGGGGAGCTGGGCGGGGTAAGCCAGGCCCAGCGGAGCGTCGGGCCCCTTCGCCCGGCTGAGGGAAGCAAAGCGGAGTTGGGGCCAAATCCTCGCCTGAGCTTTCGCTGCTTGGGGCGGGAGCTCTGCTCTCGTTCAAAGGCTTAACCGCAGTCCTAGTTAACGAAGACTTAAACGCAGTTCTGGTTAACCAAAACTTAAATGCAGTCCTGGTTAACAAAGGCTTACACACAGTTCTAGTTAACAAAGGCTTAACCGCAGTCCTAGTTAACAAAGGCTTAACCGCGGTTCTAGTTAACAAAGGTTTAACCACAGCCCTAGTTAACGAAGGCTTAACCGCAGCCCTAGTTAACAAAGACTTAACCGCAGCCCTAGTTAACGAAAACTTAAATGCAGTTCTGGTTAACCAAGACTTAAATGCGGTTCTAGTTAACAAGAACTTAAAACGCAGCCCTAGTTAACGAAGGCTTAACCGCAGCCCTAGTTAACGAAGGCTTAACCGCAGCCCTAGTTAACGAAGGCTTAACCGCAGCCCTAGTTAACGAAGGCTTAACCGCAGCCCTAGTTAACGAAGGCTCGCGTTGGCGAGGCCCTTCAGGCAGAGAGGCGGGGCGTTCCCCCTCCCTGCTGGCCTTCGGAAGCCCTGGCAAGGCTTTTAAACCTGCCCTGAAGAGGCCAAGCCTGACATTCGGTTTGGAAGCTGCTCCGGAGAGAACAGCACGTCCCTCTCTCACTTCTTGCAAGATTTTAAAAAAATCCGCGTCTCCCCAGCCTGGCTGGGGGAGCTGCACAGCTCCAGCGCTGCGTTTCCAGCAGAATAAACTGGCCGCCTCATCCCCGCACCGAGTGCTGGAGCTTGGGACGGGACTTCAGCGCCTCCGCCCTGGGCGCGACGCTGTAAGACCCCAAAGAGGACCGAAAAGGAGCGGAGCAGGAGGCTCTGCCTGCTGCCGACTAATTAAACTGCCAAGCCCCAGCCCTTAATTAGCGCAGGGCCTCGTAGCGTGTCATTAGGTGCGTTGTTTAGAGACTGAAGCACGTCCTGCCCCACGAGCGAAAAGCCAGGGGCAGGTACAGCTGTAGGGGTAACCGCGAGTCCTGCCCGAGCTTGGAACCGGAATTCTCTAAGACTGATCCCCAGACTTAAGTCTGGCCAAAACAAAAACCCAGTTTTAGATCCCTTTTACGTGCTTGGGAGTATTCCCCCATGCAGCTCGCATTGTAGCCTCAAAGAGAATGCGCTGGTTGTTTTGTCCTGTTGGTTTTTTAATTTGCCGTGTTGGTTTTTTTAATTCGTGTGCCTATCGAGGAGTTTTGATAGACCCCCCCCTACTACAGAAGCAGAAGGAAAAATAAAAGCAGGTCCGCATGACATGCATCGGCTCCAAAGAACAGAAGCTTTCTGGAAGAAGCGCTACGTTCCCTGGAATCCTGCCGACCGTACAGCGCCGACGTACAGCGGAGCTCTCCGGCGTTAATACTGAAAGGCTGCATTTTTAACGCCGTCTTTAAAAAAAAGTGACAGAAGGAATTCTCTAGCGGACAGGAGGCGGAGGAGTAGGTCTAGAAGCAAGTATTAAAAGGTTTAAAGATCTGTACAGGAGTTTTGTGGGGGTGTTGTGTTTTGTTTTGTTTAAAAAAATCTTTCAAATGTGCAAACGGGCCACGATTCTGGAAGAGGCATTGCATGCTTTACGTGACACGGGCCGGATCCCGTCAGCGTGGAGGTGTTAGTGGGCCTGGGGGAGCGGAACGACTCGCACGCCAGAGTCTAGCAGTTGGAGGAGTGCATGCTCCCCAGCTGGCCAGCCGCCAGCATCAGGATGTCTTTCTTCTCCTTATGGAAACGCAGCTCCTTCCCAGCCAGGCGGGCTTCGTCCAGCTCCCTCTCCGTCGAAGCCAGCTCTCTGGAAAGGGCCCCCGGGCTGTTCTGCTCCCTGTTCACCCAGTCCATGGCCATCTGGTTCCTTATGTCATCGTCCAGAGCGCGGTGGGAGTAGTGAGCCAGGACCTCCTGGTGGTACGGACACACGAAAGACAGGTCGCTACGGGGCACGCGCGTCGCTTAGGGGTGCCTGGCTTCCGCGCCGGCTAAGGGAGCTTAAGGAGGCGGCTGTGGCGACCCCAGGACACCGAGAGCACGACTGGAGAGACGCCCGCAGCCCGGACTCACCTGCCGTGAGCACTGCCTCTCTCGCATGGCTTTGAGGCTGCCGTTCCAATGCAGCAGCTGGAAGACGGTCATCAGCTCCTGCAAGGGCAAGAGGCAGTCAGGCGGCGAGCAAAGCGGGGGGCGAGGGTTGGGCGCGACAAGCAGGCAAGCTCGTTTCTAGCTAGGGGGACAAGAAGCCGAGAAGGCCTTGGCAACATCACGGCCGGTCCTTTGCAATTGCAAGGGTCACAGAGTATGTTTGCAACTCCGGAGTCTATAAACAAAAGATTTCCAGCACGAATGAGTCCAGATTTATCAAAAAGACAGGAAAACCACCAGAGCGGGGGAGGGGAAGGCATCACCAGCGCCCCAGGAGCCTGGATGCAAGGGCAAAGCCTGGCTCACCCCACCAGACCAAAATCCCCCGACCAGATGAGGGGATTACGGAGGAGACAAAGACGCTGATGCTTCTCCGCCCCAGGGATTTCAGGATTCTGCAAGCAAGACAACCTCCAGGCTACACCACCAGCCAGAGCAGGTGACAACCCCATGTTTTCCAAGCAAACATTTCTCTCTCAAGGCCACACAAATTCTGCCTCAAACTTGCAGGGACGAGTTAGGCTTCCCAAGCACAAACACAGCCTAAGGGATATACAGAACAGAGTCACCCTGTGTAAACACTTCTGTCTTCCGCCTACCGACTATTTCCATTCAAGGGAAAGGAGCCAGGCAAGAAGTCGGCCTCGGGAGAAGTTTGCCTACAGCAAAGAACCCCAAATACAGCGGCACTGCAGACTTGAGGCCCCTGCTCCGAGGCGCATCCAAACCCTGCCTCGCCGTCTGGAGCAGGGTTACCGTCTCATTTCTCCTCTTCTAAAAATCCAGTTCCAGTTGGTGCGCTTACAGTCAACTCGGCTGCACAAGAATCGTTTCGAGTTACTTTTGAAGCCCAAGTTTAAATTAAAAGGATTTGGGAATCTCACAGCGCTGTCCTAACGACGTCTCTGTACGTGCGGGGATGGACGTGCTGGAGAACGAGGAGCGCGCTCACAGGCAGGATTCCGAGCGCTCTTATTTACCTGGCTGCTCTGCTCGTAGGAGCAGTTTCCTCGGAAAGGCTGGAATAAAGCCCAGAAGAATCCCAGCTCTCAGTCATCTGTTCTGCACGGACTCCTTCTGCTCCATTACCCAGGACTGATAAGTGTTATAGCAGCTCCCCTCGGCAGTTTG